GCCTGATCGCCGCGCCGCGCCGCCGAGGCGCCCCGCAGCCGCGCGGGGCGCTCCGCGAGGGCGCGGGGGGGGTTAACGGGGCTCCCCCCGCTCCGCACCGGGCCCCCCCACCCCCCCACCGGGGAGAGCGAGGGGAGGAATGGATTAGCATAAACCGCGCCCCCGGACAGGCATTAGAATAGACACGCCCCCCGCGCTGGCGCCTCAGCGGGCAAGGCCCCCCCCTCGGGACCGCTCATTAGCATAAACCACGCCCAGAGGCGGTAAATTAGCATAAACCACGCCCAACAGACTGTATATTAGCATAAACAACGCCCAACCGGCTTTATATTAGCATAAATCACGCCTAACACGGTGTAAATTAGCATAAACCACGCCCAACAGAGTGTAAATTAGCATAAACCACGCCCAGCACGGTGTATATTAGCATAAACCACGCCAAATACAGTGTTAATTAGCATAAACCACGCCCAGTGGGTATGAATTAGCATAAACCACGCCCAACACGGTGTAAAGTATCATAAACCACGCCCAACAGAGTGTATATTAGCATAAACCACGCCCAGCAGAGTGTAAATTAGCATAAACCACGCCCAGAGGATCTATATTAGCATAAACCACGCCTAACACAGGGTTAATTACATAAACCACGCCCAGTATCTGTGAATTAGCATAAACCACGCCCCACACGGTGTAAATTAGCATAAACCACGCCCAGCAGGGTGTTAATTAGCAAAACCACCCCAAGCACAGTGGATATTAGCATAAACCACTCCCTGCACGCTCTGTATTAGCATAAACCACGCCCTGCATGCTTTATATTAGCATAAACCACGCCCCGAGGCGCAGCGCGCCAACCCTGTGAATCTCATTTACATGAACCACGCCCCATCACAAAACAACACACGCTTAATTTACATACCCCACGCCCCGACACGCTGTAAATTACCACAAGCCACGCCCCCAACACTGATTTACGCGCTTCCTAATTTGCATAAACCACGCCTACACTTTTTTTCAGTCCTCCTGCCCGCTAGGGGGCGCCGCGGCGGAGCAGCCGCTGCGGCGGGGGGCGCTCCCCGTCACGTGACGCTGCGCGGGGGGGTCACGTGGGACGGCGGCGCGGCCGTCATGGCGGCCATGGCGGCGGAGAAGGAAGCGGAGGCGCAGCGGCTGCTGAGCGAGGCCGAGCGCAAGGTCCGGGGCGCTCAGTCCTTCCTCGGGGGCCTCTTCGGGTGCGTGCGGGCCGCGCGGGACGGGCGGCGGCGCCGGGGAGGCCGCGGGAGGCCGGAGGGGGCGGCGGGGAACGGCGGGGAGGGCCCCCATTTCCCCCCCGTTCCCCGCTTTGCCCACACGTGGCCGTTGTTGCCCCCATTTCCCCCCATTCCCCCCACTAATCCCATTCCCCCATTTCCCCCCATTTCCCCGCTTTGCCCACACGTGGCCGTTGCTTGCCAGGGGCTCCTCGCGGCTGGAGGAGGCCTGCGAGGCCTTCACCCGCGCCGCCAACCTCTTCAAGATGGCCAAGGACTGGCGCCGTGAGTGACCCAAAAATGGGATTGTTGGGGGGGAAATGGGAATTAATTAGTGTGGGAATTGTCCTGGGGAAAATGGGAATTGTCCTGGGAAAAATGGGAATTGCCCGCGCCGCCAACCTCTTCAAGATGGCCAAGGACTGGCGCCGTGAGTGACCCAAAAATGGGATTGTTGTTGTGGGGAAATGGGAATTAATTAGTGTGGGGGGAATGGGAATTGTCCCGGGAAAATGGGAATTAGTGTGGGGGAAATGGGAATTGCCCGCGCCACCAACCTCTTCAAGATGGCCAAGGACTGGCGCCGTGAGTGACCAAGTGGGGATTGTTGGGGGGGAATGGGAATTAGTGTGGGGGAATGGGAATTAATTAGTGTGGGGATTGTCCTGGGGAAAATGGGAATTATTGTCCCAGGAAAATGGGAATTAGTGTGGGGGGAAATGGGAATTAGTGTGGGGGGAAATGGGAATTGTCCTGGGAATTATCCGGGGGAAAATGGAATTATTCCTGGGGAAAAAACGGAATTATTCTGGGAATTATTGTGGAAAAAAAGGGAATTATTCTGGGAAAAAATGGAATTATTCTGGGGAAAAATGGAATTATTCTGGGAATTATTGTGGAAAAAAAGGGAATTATTCTGGGAAAAAATGGAATTATTCTGGGGAAAAAAATGGGAATTATTAGGGGAAAAATGGGAATTATCGTGGGGATTGTCCTGGGGAAAAATGGGAATTGTCCTGGGAATTATCCGGGGAAAAATGGAATTATTCGTGGGGAAAAAATGGGAATTATTCTGGGGAAAAAAATGGGAATTATTAGGGGAAAAATGGGAATTATCGTGGGGATTGTCCTGGGGAAAAATGGGAATTGTCCTGGGAATTATCCGGGGAAAAATGGAATTATTCCTGGGGAAAAATTGAATTACTGGGGTTTTGGGAAAAATTCCCAGGATTTTGGGCAAAATTCCCAAAGTTTTCGTCAGAATTCCCGGGGTTTTGGGCAAAACTCCCAAAGTTTTCGTCAGAATTCCTGGGGTTTTGGGAAAAATTCCCAGGATTTTGGGCAAAATTCCCAAAGTTTTCGTCAGAATTCCCGGGGTTTTGGGCAAAACTCCCAAAGTTTTCGTCAGAATTCCTGGGGTTTTGGGAAAAATTCCCAGGATTTTGGGCAAAATTCCCAAAGTTTTCGTCAGAATTCCCGGGGTTTTGGGCAAAACTCCCAAAGTTTTCGTCAGAATTCCTGGGGTTTTGGGAAAAATTCCCAGGATTTTGGGCAAAATTCCCAAAGTTTTCGTCAGAATTCCCGGGGTTTTGGGCAAAACTCCCAAAGTTTTCGTCAGAATTCCTGGGGTTTTGGGAAAAATTCCCAGGATTTTGGGCAAAATTCCCAAAGTTTTCGTCAGAATTCCCGGGGTTTTGGGCAAAACTCCCAAAGTTTTCGTCAGAATTCCTGGGGTTTTGGGAAAAATTCCCAGGATTTTGGGCAAAATTCCCAAAGTTTTCGTCAGAATTCCCGGGGTTTTGGGCAAAACTCCCAAAGTTTTCGTCAGAATTCCTGGGGTTTTGGGAAAAATTCCCAGGATTTTGGGCAAAATTCCCAAAGTTTTCGTCAGAATTCCCGGGGTTTTGGGCAAAACTCCCAAAGTTTTCGTCAGAATTCCTGGGGTTTTGGGAAAAATTCCCAGGATTTTGGGCAAAATTCCCAAAGTTTTCGTCAGAATTCCCGGGGTTTTGGGCAAAACTCCCAAAGTTTTCGTCAGAATTCCTGGGGTTTTGGGAAAAATTCCCAGGATTTTGGGCAAAATTCCCAAAGTTTTCGTCAGAATTCCCGGGGTTTTGGGCAAAACTCCCAAAGTTTTCGTCAGAATTCCTGGGGTTTTGGGAAAAATTCCCAGGATTTTGGGCAAAATTCCCAAAGTTTTCGTCAGAATTCCCGGGGTTTTGGGCAAAACTCCCAAAGTTTTCGTCAGAATTCCTGGGGTTTTGGGAAAAATTCCCAGGATTTTGGGCAAAATTCCCAAAGTTTTCGTCAGAATTCCCGGGGTTTTGGGCAAAACTCCCAAAGTTTTCGTCAGAATTCCTGGGGTTTTGGGAAAAATTCCCAGGATTTTGGGCAAAATTCCCAAAGTTTTCGTCAGAATTCCCGGGGTTTTGGGCAAAACTCCCAAAGTTTTCGTCAGAATTCCTGGGGTTTTGGGAAAAATTCCCAGGATTTTGGGCAAAATTCCCAAAGTTTTCGTCAGAATTCTCAGAGTTTTGGGCAGAATTCCCAAAGTTTTGGGCAAAATTCCCAAGTTTTGTACAGAATTTTTAGCTTTTGGAGCAGAATTCCCAAAGTTTTGGGGGTGTCCAATTCTGATTTTTTTTTTTAAATTTTAATTCTGGGAACTTTGGAGCTTTCATCCCAAAAAATTGGGCGTTTAATCCCAAAAAAATTGGGGTTTTGATCCCAAAATTTGGGCTCCAATCCTGAGGATTTGGGCCCCATTCCCATTTTTCCCATTTTCCCCCATTTTTTCTCCTATTTCCCCCAATTTTCCCCCTTTTTCCTCTTTTATTTCCCATTTTTTCACATTTTCCCCTATTTCCCCCCAATTTTCCCCCATTTTCCCCATTTTTCTCCCAATTTTCCCACATTTTTTCCCATTTCCCCCAATTTTCCCCCCTTTTCCCCTTTTATTTCCCAATTTTTCCACATTTTCCACAATTTTCCCCCTAATTTTCCCCATTTTTTTCCAATTTTCCCAAAAATCCTGAGGATTTGGGCCCCATTCCCAT